GAAAAAAAAAGAGCTAATAAAAAAAATATTTTTCTCAAGCAAAGAAAGACAGTACAAAGAAAGTTATTCCGACAGATTGCTGGATTTATGAGATAGTGCTTGAATAAGAACATGAATACGTAAAATGAAATTTAAAAAAATAGCATTAGCTTTTTTGTATATCCACAGGCTCATGTAGAACATAATGTACATGTATATCAATCTCTCTCTCTCTCTTTCTCTCTGTACCTGCCTACCTGCCTTCCTGCCTATCTATCTATCTATCTATCTATCTATCTATCTATACTATTTATCTATCTATACTATCTATCTATCTATACTATCTATCTATCTGATAATCAATTTGATATTATGACTCTTGACTTAAGAAATAGATTTTTACAATCAATAATTCTATTTCCCCTAAGCCTCTTTGTATTCTATTATTACTCCTTATACTAGGTGTAGCTGAAAAGTTCTCAACCTGACTAGATTTCTAAAATCTGACCAAATCAAGAAACAGATGTTTTCCAATCATTTCTTTGTCGGGTGGGTGAAGAACCTCGTATGTAGGCGTATATAACCATGTAACTTTTTAAAATATGTCTCAGCTAACAGCCATAACACCGAAATTAAGCAACGTCGATCCTGCTCAGTACGTAGATGGTGACCACTTGGAAATCCCAGGCGCTATAAACTTGGACGTACGATTCGTATAATCGATAATGTCTCGGAGTTTGAAATCGGATAATCGAGTTCAAATTTAAATCTACTTTGTTACATTCAATTATACGCAAATATTCTTGAGAATAGTATGATTACACCTCTTCTCCCCCCTTCTATGGGTTAATTAGCAGGATTTTTTTTATCAGTAAATCAATATTATCTCCAAAAGTTCTTACAATCTGACCATATTTTCTGGCTTGAAATAACCTGCTGATAAGCCGTAAAATATTAATCAATTTAGCAATGAATCATTTTTTTATCTTTTCCTCTGTCACGATCTCGATATTAATCTTTTCAACTATTGGCAGAATGACTTTAAGCTTGCTTCTAGATTCACGAATAGGTTTCACCTTCTTACTGTTGAAATAGCTAGATCTAACCGTAAGTTCAATTCTAATACAACATTTTCTCACATGTCTCAGCTGTGAAACATCTCTCGGTTTTGTACCATGGCGAAGAGCGATATTTATTTCCGCTTCAATACAGAACATGTGGCACAAGGCCAAAAATGGGGAAAAGTATGGTCTCCATCTATCTTAATTTCAAACTTAGCTAGCCACAAACACTGACCCAAACATGCAAACAATATTCCTAACAGCAAAATAACACATTCTTACTTACCTTTATTGCAACATCCACCATAATACCTCATTGTCTCGATGATAATTTTAACTTGTCCCCATATGTAAAATTCATTTTCTGTTGGGGGAGGGGAATAAAATAACAATTTCAAGACTATCCCCAATGACGAAGAGTTCATCCAAACAATTACCATGAAATTATTTATATAACAGGTACAGGGAAACGGGTTTACAGCGTCGGGAAAGTGACTGGAGCTGAGACGTCAGGTCAGGAACAATAACATTGCTTATTCTTCTTTGGTTTTTTAGCAAAAATATCAGAGAATAATGACCCCGCCACCGTGCTTAATTGTAGGAAGGTTATATTTTGGTTTGTGGGCATCATTCACATTCCTCCATGCATAACGGGGTTTCCTGAGACCAAATAAAACTAGTTTGATGTCATCTGACCATTAAAAAATATTTACTCCCATGTTCTACATGGTTCTAGCATAAGCTAATCTGCATTTTAGGAGTTGAGCTTTAAGCAAGGGTGTTTTACTTGAAGTCCTGATCGATGAAAGCATCTAGTGACTGTCTTCATCAATACATTTGATCCTGATAAATTTATATCATTGATAACGTCCTTTGTCGTTAAATGAGGATTCTTCGAGACATCTCTAATATTTTTATCTTCCATTCTCTCAGAAATTAAGCGTTTTCTACCATTCCATAATTTATTTTCAAGACTCTCAAGAGTTTTGTTTACTACTTGAATATATATAGCAGGAGAACCGGATCATCTGTGACAGAAATATGTGAAGTTTGGAGGAATGGTTGACTTATAACTATGTAATATATATTCAGGAGGGAACCAACTTTATTGGCAGCAGACCTAGCAATGGATTCAATATAGTCTTTCTATTTCATGTCATCCGATAATGTTAATCTGAGAAGCTGCAAGGAACCACACTCCTGTTAGTTAATATTAGCCATTCTGATGCAAGGCAGAAATAGATCTATCAGATTATTAATAGAGGGTAGTTTAGATTTTGAGGCAAGTCATTCCTTGCCCCAGTTAACAACAGGGTATTATTTTTTTTTTAGATCAGACGCCAATTTGACCTAATCTAACAGAGCAGATTTACTATCGAGACAGGAGTAAATGGTCGTGTCATCAATATAGATACCAAGTTGAGAGGAAATTAACGAAAAGTAAAGAGAAAGAAGGACCAAGGATAGAGTCCTGGAGGATACCTGCATTAATACAAAAATTATCTAGAAGAGTGGCCGTTTTTGGGATAACTTTCATTTCGCGATTTGATAAGAAAGACTGCATTAGTTCAAAAATTTATCCAGAATGAAGAAGACCGGTGTGCCAGACCCTGACGAACGCTTTCAAGATTTCCAAGGCAACATCTCTGCCATATTTAATGTCTCCAGATTTTAAAGGGAAGACAATTATATTATACAAAAAAATAATATTGTACATTAATTTTTTTCAAAATAAAGTTACCTAAAATGCTAAGCTTGAACTGATTTGTACTAAAATTTACCGCAACCTATTACAACATATTTAGGCATTATTATGGCATTATCCCCCTTCTGTTTTAATCCCACTTTTAACATAAAAAGTCAACCAGTTTTACATGCGCGTGTAGCTGAACATGTGCAAATTTGAAAAGAGGACAGACAGAGATTAACACTAATAGAGAGAGAGGGGGGATTAGATGTATTTAAAATTTATGGATTTTCCAATATCACGTACAGAAAAATTTTCGGTTCGTATCACATCCCCAATGTAATCAAACAAAAGCATTTATTTTAGAAACTCTTCTTGGTTGAGCCAAAATCTTTTCAGTACCCCCTTCTATATAATAAATATCTGAACATCCTGAAATACATTGGTAATAATCATATTAGCCTTTTCCCTATAATAAATATTTGGTATTCCTTGACCAAGCTGCCAGTATTGTATTCGGTTGAAATTTCTAAAATTTTTCCCTTAAAATAATTTTTTAGAAAAAACTGGTGACTCATGTCTTCTTTGTGGAATACTAATGTCTTGATTATGTCATTATTTTCTCTTCGTGTTACCTGTGCTATAAACTTTATTTATTGCACTTTGTGTGGTTTCCATTATTTGTAGAGTTCTTTGCTTAGGATTATGTACTGTCAGTCCACAATGTTCAAAGAATGAAACTAAATCGCACGAAGTTACAAGTTATCGTGGCCAAGGTTTTGAACATATAGTAATGGTAATATTAGCCGTTTCCTCATAAGGAAACATTCAGCATTCATTCTACAAGTAGCCAATGCTGCTTCGATAGAAATTTATAAAATGTGAATAGTAATGGAAATATAAGCCGTTTCCTTATAAGGAAACATTCGGCATTCATTCACCGAACAGCCGATGTTACTTCGATTGAAATATATAAAATGGGGACCGTAATGAAAATATTAGCCGTTTCTCTATAAGGAAACATTTGGCATTCATTGACCGAATAGTCAATGCTGCCACGATTGAAATTTATAAAATGCTAATAGTAATGGCAATTTTAGCCGTTTCCTTATAAGAACATATTCGACATTCAATGACTAAGCAGCCACTTCTGTTGTCCAGAATCCTGGCTTAACAACAAACAACATTGTCAATGATGTAAAGACACCAGTGTTGAATGTGTCGACGAAGACAGTCAGATGCTTTCATCAAGCAGGACTTTGAGCTTGTCACCCAAGGAAAATTATCTTGCTTAACATATAAGCATATAAACATATAAAATGCAGAAGACATCTACAACATGGGAGTAAATTTTGGAACTCTGTTTTATGGTCAGATGAAACCAAACTAGAAATATTTGGTCACAGGAACTGCTGTTATATAAGTGAATGAGGCTCACAAAACAACAAGAAAATATCTTCCCTACGTAAGCACGATAATGGAAACATTCTACTCTGGCTGTTTTGCTGGTTCTGGATCAGGTGAATTAGTGAGAGTACAGGGTATCATGGATAAAGAGCAGTATTTGCCTATATATAAAAATAATATAAAACAAAGTGCGTGAAAGCTATCTTTTGACAATGACATGAAAGACACGGCATGAATTGTTACAAAATACTTAGATAACAGCAAAATTAAGGTATTGGCGTACCCCGCACAAAGACCTGACCTAAACCGCATTGAAAATTTATGGGCATATTTGAAGGAACCTTTTCAGCCAACACTTTATCTGAAGAATACGTTGTATAGTTATATACATTTACATTTATATGTAAGACTATATATATATATATACATATGACTGTATACATTGAATGTTAATCTCTTAAGAAATGGCAGCCTTGTCATGTTATTATGATGATTTAGACAGACACACACATGTACAAACACACGTTCACACTAACCCTTATACTCTCACAAGGAAAATAGAAAGACGAGTAGGAAGATGGAAATGGAGTGAGAAAATACTTGTAGAATCGGATTGCTACGTACATTTAGATAATTGAACGTAAAAAGTGATATTTGCGGAGAGAGACAGAATCAGGGCCAAATAGACAAGACTGAAGGTTGTTTCATTATTGAGAAACTCGGTAGGAGCGAACGAGAGAGACGGTGAGTGGGATCCTGAGTGAGAAAACGTGGTAATGGTAGGAGGATGCCAGTGCAGCGTTTCCCCTGACTCATTTATCATGTTTTCAGTGTCTATTATACAAATAACTTCTACGATGTAAAATATGAATGATATGTTATTTCCGCCATTCTTTCATTGTGAAGAAAGCCTTATGTCAACTTTGTCGTCGACAAGATTATAACAATTTTCTAAAGATACAGATAAATAAAGCGAAATGTCAAAAGAAGACAATTAATCATAGGCTTTTCCTAAAGAACTAGTTTTTGTACTCATCAAACCCTGGATAACCAGAGTTTAAGCTCAAATATATATATATATATATATATATATATATATATATATATATATATATATATATAAAGAGAGAGAGAGAGAGAGAGAGAGAGAGATTTGTTGGTACACATGGAATAAAATTCCAGTAAACAACAATAACCAATTACCAATAAACAATACCAAATAAAGCTAATAGTAATTATTCAAATTTATTGGCTATACTTGCTATTGAGCACTCTTTTAAGAATAGTGTTTTTGGTTATTGGAATTTTATTCCGTGTTTACCAACCCTCTACTTGGATATTAGGCCCTATTATATCTGAACACTGTCCGCTCTTTTATACTATGGATAGAACCAATTTCATAATCTCATTAAAAACATTCCCACCAGCAACATCAAATTTGGTAAGACACCACCAGTGTTGAAACAAAATTGCAAATTTTTCAATATATATGTCATAAATTTGATTAAAAATAATATATATATATATATATATATATATATTTGGTTGGATAGATGTGAGTTTGTGACCCTGGGTTTCACGCTTTAGCGATCGTCAGACAGCGTGAAACCCAGGGTCACAAAGTCACATCTATCCAACCAAATATGTTAACTCTATCTCTGATATTGAGCGCTTTCTAATAAGTACCGCGCATATAATATATAAATAATTATACATATATATATTTATTTATATTTATATACACTTTTCACACACACACACACACACACACACACATATATATATATATATATATATATATATATATAAATAAGTGCGTGTGCGTGTGTGTATTTAGGCAGTATAATTTCATACAGGCAATAATGATCATACTTCAATCTCAGAACATTTAAGAAAAAATTCATATGTTCTGTCCGAAATACATCAGTGTTTCATAATAATCACATGCAAAAACTTGAAAAATCTGGAAGCCGCTTATGTAAGAGAATTGTGACCGGGAATAAATAAAGTCAACTCTGAATATGGCAACAAAGTTCTTAAATGGTTGTAGCAGAAAAGTTTGACATAAAAAAAATACAAAATTAAAATACTACAATTAAATCTCTTTGAAAAATACATTTAAAGATAAAAAAAATAAAATAAATTCACATAAGTCCCCCCCCCTGCGTAGAGGTAATAATATTTCTAACATATGGTGTTGACGCTTAACACGACCATATATATGCAACACATGAAGATGAACTCAGATGATACTGAAAATACTCAGGAAAAATATTTGAAAGAAAATTTTGCAATATTTCTTAATCATTTTTCTACGGCCACCAAAATTTAATTCTTGGACTTGAAAGGATTAAGACTATAATAAATAGAGATAATACGTATACATGATTTATATATACATACATTTATATATATATATATATATATATATATATATATATATATATATTTCTGTGACATCAGTCTTTGATTAACTTGGTTGTATCCTGTAAGTTTCCTTAAGGCGCTGACATATTCCACATCACGACATGGTCTTGATTGCACAAATTCTCAGATATGGGCTCTGGGTGAGATAGAACCGTACTTCTTGCTAGCCCTCAACGGCTTTCTGATGCTTGTAAGTGCAGGAGTTTACATACGAATATCCTTCTCCATCACTTTCCTCAGTTGATGGATTCCACTCAGATGGGATATATATATAAAAAATGGATATTTAAGGGGTACAATATATATATATATATAAATATAAATATATATATATATATATATATATATATATATATATATATATATATGTGTGTGTGTGTGTGTGTGTATGTGTGTGTATAGGGTGTGCTATACTGATGTCTTCATATGCCAGATATCAGTAACAGAACGTATGCAAATATAAAAGTGAACATTGATGTCAAAAGCCATGAAGACAGTGTACTTCATTATTAAACTCGATCTTCTGCTCATGTATATTGTCTCGATCGTTAATATATGATTGTCTGTGGTGCATTCGAAGTAAGTCTATTTGTATTATTCTAACCTTTATTAAGTGGGCGGTAACAGTTATATGGGCCATTGAGTAAAAATAATGGTCGTTCCAAATGAAGTTTTTTTGTCAGTGCTTTTTTTAAAACCTTTTCATTATTTATTATTGTATCATTTGTTGTTGATCGTTATTATTATGCGTTTATGTGTGCATTAATCCACTCCATTATATATATATATATATATATATATATATATATATATATATATATATATATATATATATATATAAAAAGAATGTATAAACATAAAAATGTCTTAAAATAATTGTCGGGCTTTGTCCATTTCATTATACATATATATATATATATATATATATATATATATATATATATATATATATATATATTTTCTTATCATTATAATGCTCTATAGTCTACATTGAGCCCTCCCAGGATTTATATCTTCCTCGGCGATAACCGTTTCTGTCAAATACTGGTAAAACCTATAATATATATATATATATATATATATATATGTGTGTGTGTGTGTATCAGGGAATGGATTAATTCCGACAGTTATTTTAATATATTTTCTGTTTATATGTAATTTTTTAGATATAATTTATTGAAGTAAAGGCTCTGTTTTTTACTTAATTTTAATGAAACACAATTAATTACATTTGCCGGCTTGATGTTTGACAAATTTCCCAGAATATATATGATTCTCCGACAGGATTCGAGCCTGTAATCACAAAGGGAACAATCATTTGATCTTATGTGCTGTTATCAAGTGACGTTGATAAGACACCAGAAGTGTTGAAACAAAATGGTTATTTTCTTAGTGGTTTATAAAATATTTGTTATAATTTTCAAATAAATAACTATATATATATATATATATATATATATATATATATATATATATATATTATAGGCTTTACCAGTATTTGACAGAAACGATTATCGCCGAGGAAGATATACATCCTGGGAGGGCTCAATGTAGACTATAGAGCATTATAATGATAAGAAAGAATATATACATATATATATATATATGATGAAATGGACAAAGCCCGACAATTATTTTAAGACATTTTATGTTTATACATTCTTTTTATAGATACAAATATTTAAGTAAATTCTCTGTTTTTAATAAACAGTATTAAACATTATTCCGGTCGGTAAATGTTGTTTAATACTGTTTATTGTAAACAGTGCATTTACTTAAATATATGTATCTATAAAAAGAATGCATTAACATAAAAATGCCTTGATATATATATATATATATATATATATATATATATATATATATATATATATATATATATGCGTGTGTGTATGTACATATATATATATATACACTGCGCCAAATTATTATCGAGATAACTTTTTCTAATATTTCAAAAACCATCCAATCAATTCTCATTTTCACACAATGTTGGCAACACTAATCTGCACAATCACTGAAATTTTCGTACTGATGTGAAGAATGTAAACAAACAGGCGCCATATTAATTATCCACACGGTGATTTAAACGGGCCGAATTAGTAGAAAAGTGTAAGAATTTAGTGAAAAGATGGGCCGTAAAAGCAGTTTAAGTGATGCTGAAAAGAAAACTATAACCTCAGAAGTTTCAAAAGGTAAATCTACCCTAGAAATTTCTAAAATGATAGGGAGGTGTCATCAAACAGTGAAAAAGTTCACCGCCGACCCTACACAAGTACGCAAAAGGGCAGATAAAGGCAAGACGAGGGTTATTTCATGTCGTCTCATGTTACGACTTAAACGAGAGTCCACGAAGTACCCTGGACTTACCAGTCAAGAGATTTTCAGTTGCATTGCGGATCCTACTGTGTCTAAAAGTTAGTGTTAGTATCTGAGGGAAATAGCAACAACAGTTAAACCTGTATCGAAGCCTCCATTGACGCGAAATCACATTCAAAATCGATTGAAATGGGCCAAGGACAATATGAAGATTGACTTCTCTAAAGTTTTGTTCACAGACGAAACAAGTAACACTTGATGGGTCAGATAGATGGTGTAAAGGCTGGGTAATGAACAGACAGAATCGTCATCAGCGTTTGAGACGCCAACAAGGCTGTGGAGGCATAATGATCTGGGGTGGTATCATTGGAAAAACATTAGTGGGCCCATGGAGAGTACCAGATGGCGTCAAAATGACTGCTGGTGCATACATAGCGTTTATGAAGGAGCATCTTGAGCCGTGGATGAAAAGGCAAAGAGTTGCCTTCCGAAGGGCCATTGATTTTATGCAAGATAATGCTCCCTCACATGCTGCTCAGAAGACTACTGAATATTTGAAACAATTAGGCTTCGATGGACCTCGAAAAATGAAGTGGTCAGCAAATTCTCTGGATTTGAACCCAATCGAAAACCTTTGGAACATCCTGAAGCGAAGACTATACGCCAATGGACGACAATGGGAAGCAATTCTTGACATATCTCGCGGCATTACAGCAGATGACATCCTACACTTAACAAATTCTATGGATCGTCGACTTCTTCAAGAAATTTCAAAAACAGGGAAAGCACATTCCCTATTAATTTGTTTAAAACTGTGCCTTTGTATCTGTTATTATTTGTTTGATTATCTTATTTATTAGCTTCTTTTGATCATAAACATTCACGTGGAACATTAATAAACGTTTTGTTTGCTCAATTCAGGGAATTTGACTAAACCTTTCTAATAATTTGGCACGCTCAAACCACCGTGCTGATAACAAATATGGCGCCAGTTTGTTTACATGGCGCAAATCAGTAGGAAAATTTCAGTGATTGCGCTGGTAAGTGTTGCCAACATTGTGTAAAAATTTTGTGTGAATTGTTTGGACGGTTTTTGAGAATCGATAATAATAATTTTGGCATAATTTATACATACATATATATATATATATATATATATATATATATATATATATATATATATATATATATATATATATATATATATATATATATATATATATATATATGTGTGTGTGTGTGTGTGTGTGAGTGACATTAAATGTTAAATTTTTGTGGATACCCATATATGAGTAGACGCTCCGTTATTTTTTTTTAAAAGTGCATTTATTTTCGGGTACCAGGCAGAGTAATCGAGAAAACTGATTAAACGAAAATGTTCCCACACTCTGCAGGATTTGAAACAGTGTTTCTTAACCAATCTTTGCAGGAGAAAACCCTGATCAGAACACACGTGCCTTTAACCGACAGGCCCACGAAGGGCGCCGCCGATTGGGCAAGACTGAATACTGCCTTTTTAGACCAACCAGCTCAGTTTCGTATCAGAAACATAAACAAAGCAAGTAATGGATTTTTTAACTGACAGATTTTTATCTTTTTAAATGTTATTTTAAATAGCGTTAAAATGACGTATAACGTCATAAATCTGGCGCAATAATGAAAAATCTTTAATTCTTTATATATATATATATATATATATATATATATAGTCCATATACAGTCCTCTTTGGGGTATCACAGCTAATCAGTGTGGCTAGACATCCGATTGTTTCAAGCCGGGATCGAAACTCGGACGATTTGGCATCAGTCAGAGATTCTACCCCTAAGGTATCTGCGCAGGGTAGAGAAAAGGAAATTTTTAATGTACTATATACATGATGTTTACAATCTTCAGTAGCCAACGACTTCAGTAGCCATGACTGATAATAGCAGGAGCAGCCACTGTTTTTTTTCTTTTACAATTACCCTTTCCCTATAGTGCTTGATCGGCGATCAAGAGATAATCATTTCACCCCAAGCAAGGCAATAACCCCATTAAGACAAAATCAAGTTACCGATTGTAATAGAATATGAGAAAAAGAAAAACATTATTAAGGAGTAAGAACAATAAAAGAACAGGAATTAAAAAGACAAAAGATAACGATATAGATTTGCATTTATATATTTTTGAAGATCAATCTTGACGGGAAAGAAAAGAAAAAAAAAGGAAGCGAGTTCGACAATCTAGAAGTGTGTGAAAAGAAACTGTTAAATATAGAAAATACGATTGCATTTATTTATTTCAACAGCGAATTGATGAGACCTCGCCGCCAATCTAGTACTGCCCTTAAATTCATAAAGTTGAGGTACCAACGGGGAAAGATCATCACAACAATTACCACAAAAATGATTATGGAAATGCCACGTGGAAACTGTGGTATGACGGTGAGAAAGCGACTGAAGTTGCGATGCTAAGTTAGAATCAATATCATTGCAGATTGTTCTATATTTTTTATGAAGACTGTAAATACAAAGCAGAATAATTTTACTAACGAACAATATTGAATGCATTGACGAATTATGGACTTATAAGTGGGTAAGAGATTATAGAAATATTTGCTGATCGTCTTTGCAACTTGAGTTATAATCTTACATACTGAAAGGAGTTTTAAATTCCGTTTCCTAGATCTATCTATCTATCTATCTATCTTAGTCACTTCATATCTATCTATCTTTTCGTTCAACCACACTATCATCATCTGTCTCTCGACCATGTATGATCTTTTAACGCCGAGCATCTGAGCATCTCACCAGATCCTTCCACATAACTGTGTTGAAAACCGAAGCTCTATTCGTTCATGCGTAGCGTGTCCTGGACTCATAGACAAGATGGAGCCCCTTTATTTTCCGGTCAAATTATAGCCAATGTCCTTCATCTTCAAGGGTCGTCTTGGTAACGGACAGCATGGCGTTGATTCCAATGGGGGACCTAGACGTTGATCTCCGTTAAGGAAGACCTCCTCCCAGCGATCGCCTGTGCATAGATGTATGGAACTCCATCTAATCCATTGTGCCTTGGAACCTACAAATGGTTAATACTCAGCATTTACACTACTCAGCATATAGCTATATTTTTCACCAGATGATTAAACCAGTTTAGTCGTTTTTGATTTGATTTAATTGACTGTTTAACATCTCCTTATCGGTCATTTAATTTAAATTTCTTGGGAGCTCGGAAATAATAAAAATGTTATTCTGCTTTCACAATTGAAAATATGGTAGATGATACTCAGTTTTTCTGCAGATACATGTTTCTACTGAGGTGATTACTGGAGGCGGGGCATTTTACGTTGTAGTCTTGTTGAAGTTATATTTTGGAATATAGTTTGATTTAATTAATTGTCGGATATTATATGGCTTAATGTCATGAAAGAGTTAATTCATGTTAGTTGATTGTTAATATTATAAACGGAAAAAGTCGTGAAACGGGTGAAGTCGTTAGAATTTGATAATTTGTGCGTATTGTTGGTCATTTTACTATAAATTTGTATTGTTGGTAATTTTTATATAAAAATTTATTTCTGGTATTTTTACTATAAAATTTATTTTTATATTTTTATAGTGTTTTATCGATGGGATTCATTATTTACTCATAACTTGAATCTTAACAGGTACTAAAACTGTGGGTCAACGTAGACCTGGGAACAATACAGTTTAAAAAGTATTTCCAATGCTTCTCAAAATCTCCAATCTCCCGCCTTGCTGTCCGTTATATTTTATTGTCATACTCTGGACCAATCTCTGTTGTGACTGCCGGATTTTACGGTACCAGTAATGCTCGTAAAGTGACCTGACAATAAATGTAACTGCTTCGAAAAGAATGCAAATTCACAAGACAACTGGTAAACGTGATTATTTAACGACCATATTAATGCCAAAACACGATACTGATTTCTTGAAACAGCTATGCCTCTTTTCTAGTTACAAAAAGATATTTCACAAGTTCTTATCAGTTCTTACAAAATACCATCACGGCGTCACCAAATTCCTAATAAGTTTTACGAACATGCTTTTTTAAAATAAAAATAACGACTTTCATCTTTCACTCCGTTTCGCTGACAAGAATGGCGCCATTAAAGTCATTTCAAATTCTTCTAAAATATTTACTATGTATATCAAGTTTAATGTCCTTTTTCGAATGTCACTTCGAGAAAGAACAAAAACAAACGGAGCAGAATTCTTAAATTCCAACGCCTGCTATGATTTATTAAATCTGAATGGTTCAGTCATTCTTGATATCAACAAGAACTAAATTTGAATTCTCAGTTTCTTAATAATGTTTTCGAAAATCTGTGACCCCAACGGTAACTAAAGGAATAATACACTGACGCCTTAAAATTTCTTTCACTTTAATTCAACCAACATGGCATCTAAAAATTCTTACAATCAAAAAATATATTTTGGCAAAGGGTTTATAAGCCGTCAGAAAACGGAGCAAGAAAAATGCATTATTATCGTAGTAGAGAAATGTTTACATTTATCTCCGGTGTCAACGTTACAAACATTTTATCTCATTTGAATCATATTTGGGAAAGCAGTCATGATATTTTCATTCTATTTATAATATTTTTCGGGTCTTTTTTTTTTCTCAAAGCCAACTTATTTGGCAAAAGGACACTGGGATAGTCGGTCGTATTAAACCAGCATATTCGATCATGTGAGCATGAACTTGCATTAGCTTTTAAAAGAAAGAAAAACAAAAAAGCAACAACAACAAAAAACGAAGAGCTAAGGCTTGTACTGATTAACTTGAAGGTTTAATTTTTATTCATTTTCTCTTTTTCTTTTATTTATTTACTAGCCGAATTACCCGCACCATGCTGCTTGTCATATATATATTTGTAAGAAAATGATGGCTGATTTTAAATCATTCTTATAATTTCTGAAGAAAAATAATGCATTTCAGTATTACTCAAAGATCTTGCCAATGTGACCTGCATCTTCTCCTTGTATATTTTGGATAGAAGTTATTCCCTTGTTCAAATTTTAATTTAATTCAAATCAAATGGAAAAAAAAATCAGTGGGGTTATGTGCAGAAACAGCTTGATCTTACCCCTTTTGGATGTATTTGATGAAATATTTGCTTGAGTGAATTGATGAGCAGATTTCAACATTGATATGACAGTTGAATTGTCGCTACAAAGATATAAAGCACTACCCACTGATTGGTGATTTGTTGTTCAATTTGACGTCCATATTCTCATTTTGAGCTTGTAACCTCCATCTTCTGGCTTTTTCCTTTTATATTTTTAGATAGGAACCATTTCATTGTTCAAATTCAAATTTAATTTAAATCAAAGGGAAAACAAATTCCAATGTGTGTCGGGGTGTTGTGCACCCCAACCCAGGAGCCCCCTTTGATCAAAATGAAATCCAAGTACCCTAGGAGTCATTCCCTTATTTAAATTTAATTTAAATCATAGGAAAAAGTTTCTGTGATTTCATGCCACCGGGGATTTGATCAAAATTAAATATACTTATCCAAGTACCCCAGGAGTCATTACCGTGTTCAAATTCAAATTTAATTTATACCAAAGGGAAAATCTTTCAGCGGGGTGTTCTGCTCCCCGGAAACCCCCTTTGATCAAAATGAAATATGCTTATCCATCCAGAGTCATTCCCTTGTTTAAATTTAAATTTAATTTTCAAAAGGGAATTTTTCAAATTTAATTTATCAAAAAGAAATATACTTATCCAAGTACCCTAGGAATCAAAATTCAAATTTAATTTATATCAAAGGGGAAATCATTTAGCGGGGTGTTCTGCTTCCCCTGAAACCCCCTTTGATCAAAATGAAATATATTTATTTAAGTACCTTGTTCAAATTTAAATTTAATTTATATCAAAGGGAAAATTTTTTCAGCGGGGGGTGTGAATCTGCCCCCCAGGCCACTTTTAATAAAAATGAAATATACTTATTCAAGTACCTTCGGTAATGTAGTTCCAGAATATATATGGTTTTGGCGGTCTAACCCCCAAAACTTAGGAGGATTTCGATAACAAACAGATGGAGGCTACAACTTTATGCATATAGATTAGTTAAACAAAATTGCAGGGTGGGGGCTAAATTCTACAAATCCGGGAGTAAAGACATTGTGTGTCCTTGATCTTTCAGAGTGGAAAAATATCGATCTATTCCGTAAAACGTCTCCCGGCTAAAGAAGCTCGAGACACAATTTGCAAATTTTCTCTTGGAGAGAAGAATCGGATCGCGTGTTTTCTTTTTTTTCCGAAATATCGATTCGCGATGATTTCCTCGAGTAGCCAAATAGAGTTCTCCGAATGTAATGGCCATTACATTTCTCTGAAAAAGAAAAATTCCTGTGAATAATTAGAACAAGATATTCTGCAGTATTTCAGTTTTAAAACAAATTTCAAAAGCATAAGAGGTTTTCATTTTTTAAACGGTTAAAGAAATTACAAGCAAGCTAAAATAAGTTCACCTATCGACCTTTTCACACTCATTCTCGGTCTTTTGAACAGGAGTAGCAGTTTATCCCGTATTTCCTGTTTCCGGTTCCGGTTAAAGTATTTAATTCTCTTTCACTCGCAGTAACCCCTTTGAGTTTTACTAGCATAATCGCCTTTCTTGGGATGAATTGATTATAAACAAAAAAAAAAACAAAAAAAAAAAGATACAAGATTTAGATTCTTGGCGAACTCGCTAAAAAAGGCATATCTAATACTAGCAGCATGGCACGGCGTTTCCTGTGCTTGATTCAAAAATCGTACGACTCATACAGCAATCGCTATCACTTGACAAAATATTTTTGCCCTTCCTTGCCTTTAAAGGAGTGCCCTTTGCCGTGCTGATGTTGCTCCATGCCTTACTTCTTGCCTATCTCACACTGCGAATTTTTTCTCAGCTCTATACTAAACATTAAATCTGTTACGAAAAAAGAACTAAACAAAATGAACACAAAACGATCAGCTTTAAAAAAGGACTCATAACTGGAAAAACCGAATGAAAAAAGAATGTTAAAAATAAATACTTTTTCACACCCAACCCAGTTCTGCGGAATCAGAATTTACGTTGTTTAAGCAAGCGAATGAGCCAATTGGAGTAAAGTGCCATGCAGATTTAAATTTTTCCACACTTGTGACGACTGCAGCTATCGATTTCCTTTGCATGCTAGCATGCTAGTTAATATTCGTGTCAGTCAGTTGTTGGCCAATAGAATCTTCCTGCCTATTCGTGGCAGCCAGCTATTGGCTCTCACTCTGGCCAGTAGAAAATGGTCGCAAACTACATGTAAACTGACGTAGAAGCATGACAAAATCGATTATTTCCACTATCGATGGGAGTTGGGAAATGCAATGTCGGTCCTGGCCTTTCCACTAACTTGAAGCATGTGCATGTAAATTTTGGTGCAAATCCGTCGAAAACACACACACACACACACACACACACACACACACACACACACACAGAGAGAGAGACAGAGAGAGACACACAGAGAGAGAGAGAGAGAGAGAGAGACACACACACACATCCTGCCTTTTATAGATAGACTTTGTAATCTGCTATATTTGGTCCCAATTCATAGTTCCATTTAACTGTTCTGAAAATTGTACTAATATTTACAATTATTCTTTTCATTTGAGATTTTAATTCATTCTACTAAAAGCCTGCCAATTTATGACAACTGCGGCTCTCTTCTTTTTGTTACTGACATTCTAATTTTCACGGTATAGTTTGAAATTCCTCAAGAGATTTTTAACTCACAATCTTTTTCGGTAACTTTTGTCATGTTACAAAAATTTCTCAGCGATTGGCGAAAAGTGATACTACACTTACTTTTTGAGTTACATATTTATCCAGCGATTTGTTTTGCTAGCTTTAAAATCATAGCCAAACCGAAGAAATAAATAAATAATAAAAAATTCCCTGCCTGTGGCAGAATTAGCAACTCCCACGAATGAAGAATTTCAGTCACTGTACATTTTGTTGGCCCGATGTTTCACTACGAAGAGCCCACGCTTTCTGGATGATGCCAACCAAACCTATATAACCCATTCTCTCCTGTGATTTAACCCATAGTTATGGGAGAAGAAATGGATTAGTATATTTCCCAAGGATAACTGAATGTAACGAACTCGACTGGAGTTCGAACTCGGCTCCCTGAATTCCAATTTCAAACCGCAATCAATTACGCCACCCACACATCCAACCCCAAGATATAGGTAGATTTTGAAACGAACCAAAAAGAAAGATGTTAAATCCGATGTTTCATGAAAATGAACAGGATCTGACAACTTGTATAATTTTCGCAGAGCAGTTTTGTCTTCATTTTCTCTTAAATCCCATTGAGATCTAAGTTTGATAAGTATTTAAAGATATAATATATACGTATATTTCATTGTTTTTATATCTGAATTAATTTTTGATCATGAAAAAGTTAATAAGACCTGCTTGGTAGTTGAGATAGTTGGGTAAATCAACTCAGTGTTAGAGATTGTTGTTCAAGCCTGGATAAAAAAAAAGATTTGAAAAACCATTTTTCAAGATAGGAATGCAGTCCCTCTCCTGTTTTGAAGTTAGGCAGTATGCATTCGTCTTTCCTATTTGCGCTAATTTGAAGTTTTCAGTAAAATACCATGTCTCTTCAGAAAAAAAAAATCTACAGGGGTCTATAGTTGTCATTCTCATAATTCTTTAGAGATTTATGTCCTTTATTTTCTATGAATTGCCATGACTTCGTGGGAAAGATATCTTACTTGTTTTCCATTAAAAAATTCTCTACGGCTTTCAATTCGAAATTTTCCTTCATTTTCTAGAATGGATTTCATACTAAGATAAAGTCCAATCTACGCTGATATTTAATTAATAGCTAGGGTAAAAGAGGGAAATGGGATCCATGTCAAGTTATTAATGACGACAACCGTTTAGCTATCAACATATTCGTAAACTAAGTATATATATATATATATATATATATATATATATATATATTGATATAAAGAAAATGAATTTCTTTGTGTGACCATTTTTTTTTTTTTTTTTTTAAGGACAAACCTTTCGCCAACGCTTCATCCAAATGATTTTAAATAATTAATTTGAAAAGAACGCCAAAATGGTAAAGAAAATTTTACGAAGACATATATTAAATTAAAATAAATTTATAAAAAATAAATGCGTAAATAATAAATTAATAATAATGAACCAACCTGAGATAAAATAAAAAATAAGTTGCTCATATATTAAATTTAGCGATCGTGAAAAATTCTCCTTTTGTTTAGAAAGCGATGGTTTAAATAATTTGAGACAGATGGCTTCCAAAATAGATGATATTTGGACCTGCCTACGCATATAATTGAAAACGAGTCCATTGTAAAACGTTTTGAGCATGACTCATTTTCTAATAGGTGTTTTCGCCGAATCGTGAATTGCGAAACACGAATATTATCTAAATTTAATTTAATGTGTCTGCAGGTTACATAGATTCTTGTTTCCAAACGAAGACGTGTTCGCCCTGTCAAAAAAAAAATGGTCATACAAAAGAAATTCATTTTCTTTAAATCATTATATTTGTTTTTGTGGTATCAAAGCATTATTCCAATATATATATATATATATATATGTGTGTGTGAGAAGTGGACAAAGTCCGACAATTATTTTTATAGATACAAATATTTAAGTAAATGCCCTGTTTTAAAATAAGAGTATTAAACAACATTTACCGGCCTGAATGTCCGAGAAAATTTTGTCCTCCGACAAGAATCGAACCTGTATCCTATACGGAAACGTAATATAGCCTGATGTGCCTTAACTGTTTCGGCCACAGAGTAGCGTTCGATTTTACTGTCTTTAAACTTTAATCTTCCATAAAATATCTCACGAACATTCATATCTGCTCATGGCGTATCACATGTAAGCAAATGACGTCACACATTATGAAATTGACCATACTGTTTATTATAAAACAGAGCATTTACTTAAATATTTGTATCTATAAAAAGAATATATAAACATAAAAATGTCTTTAAAAAATATCGCCTTCCGCAGGCAGAATGTTTCTTTGTTTCATAGCTATATATCTGTTTACCTGAAGCCAGGATTGAAACCCGATCGATACGGTATCAGCCGGAGACTGTACATCTAAGCCATTAGCACACAGCGGAAGTGGCTATAATTTATTAGATTAGAATCGTAATCACGATCCAATTCATCAGACTTATAAATTCAAAAAGATTTTTGCATTTGTAGGTCTGACTTAATATGTTTTAAATTTTAGGTGTGCTTAGTAGAATCGTAAGACCTGAACTAATAGGACTGTATAGGGATGACCCTCATCCATAGTAATGTCCCACTAACAGCGAAATTACAAAGAAAATTATCAGGGCCTTCAAATTCCTAGAGTTTAAGATCGTGACTTCGTCTAACCTTAACCTTAAAATAGTTGAGTACCTAGATATCACCCTTAATAAAACATTTAAACCTTACCATAAAGAGAAAGAAACCCCCAACTATATTAATATCGGTTCTAACCACAAGAATGTAATCCTAAGAGAAATACCCACTACCGTTTGCACCAGAATTAATAAAGTAAGCTGTCCTACGCGACCACCGTTAGTAATACCGATACACGAAATGTGGAATGCAGGTGTAAAAATAGGAAAAGAAAAATCACTTGGTTAAACCCCACTTCAGCAAACTGCCAAGTATCAACATCGGACAGCACTTCCTAAATTAAATTACTAAACACTTCAACAAAAAAAAAATCCTTTAAATAAGATATTCAACAGGAAGTCAATCAAAATTATCTACTCCAGCACTATTAATTCCCATAAGAATGACATTTTAAGTAAATTCCATGGGAAAAAAAGGAAATCTAACATGGAAACAACCTGTAATTGTAGAATTAAAGAAAACTCCCCAGTAGAGGGCAAATACAGACCCAATAGGCAACCATTAGCCCTAAAGAAAATACAACAAAACATAATATTAACATCAATATTTCTGCAGGAGAATTTAAACAGAGAATCAATACAGACTTTCATTCACCAATCCAAAATTAAAACACCAAACAGTCCTTTCGAAAAAAAAAATGGATTTAAAGAAAAGGGTCTGAATCCTCAAATAAATTGGAAAACTATTGGTTTCGAGAACACCTTAATAGTTTTAAGGAATAGGTGCAAGCTATGTTTAGAAGAGAAAAAAAAACAAGATAATAAAAGATAAAGTTCAATGCTTACTATTAAATCAACGGAGAGAAATAATCACGAAATGTGGGCATAGAAATATATTCAAAAATTAGATAAGTATATATGTGTATATATTTAT